TGTTTTGGGATTTTGTTTTGTTTTGTTTTGTTTGTGTTTTTGTAGGATGGTGGCAGTGATTTTGAGGAGGGGAAGAGGAAGGAGGATACAAGCAAGGGAAGTCACAGACTGTAGTGCCTAGACAGACCCTGGTTTGAATCTCGGCCTTACCACTTTCTGGCATGTAAGTTGTAGGGGGTAGCCGATACCTTAGGACATCTCTTGGGTTTTTTTGTTTGTTTTTGTTTTGAGACATAGTCTCACTCTGTTACCTAGGCTAGAGTGCACAATCTTGGCTCACAACCTCCACCCTCCCAGGTTCAAGTGATTCTCCTGCCTCAGCCTCCAGAGTAGCTGGGTTTACAGGCACCTGCCACCATGCCCAGCTAATTTTTGTATTTTTAATAAAGACGGGTTTCACCATGTTTGCCAGACTGATCTTGAACTCCTGACCTCAGGTGATCCGCCTGACTTGGCCTCCCAAAGTGCTGGGATTGGCCAGGTGTGGTGGCTCATGCCTGTAATCTTAGCACTTTGGGAGGCCAAGGCGGGAGGATCATTTGAGGTCAGTAGTTCAATACTAGCCTGACCTATATAGTGAAACCACATCTCTACTAAAAGTGCAAAAATTAGCCAGAAGTGGTGGCACACGCCTAGAGGCCCGGCTACTCGGGAGGCTGAGAATCACTTGAACACAGGAGGCAGAGGTTGCAGTGAGCCGAGATGGCGCTATTGCACTCCAGCCTGGGCGACAGAGCAAGACTCTGTCTCAAAAAAAAAAAAAAAAAAAAGTGCTGGGATTACAGGCTTGAGCCATCCCACCCTTCAGGACATATCTTTTGAATTTTGAACCTGGTGGATGAATTTTTAGATGACCTCAGGACAGTCCTTAATTTCTACATGACCTCAGTTTTTCCAGCTTTGCAAGGACAGTATGAAACCAGCCCTGAAGTCTTGCTAAGAGGATTCAGGCAGTTCATAGAAGTTGTGAGTTGGTTCCTCCATTCGCCTGGGTGTTGCAAGGGGGCAGGGCCCGCATCTTGCCTGTGGCCTGCCAGGGTAACAGCTCAGCTCAGTGAGTGAGATGGTATCTCACTGTGGTTAGGATTCACATTTCCCTGATGACTAGTGACGTTTCCGTGTAACTTCTTGAATGATCATTCAGTAACAATAAGTGTAGGCTGAGTTTGTAGAATCAGTTGGCCTCCTCAGCCTCGATTTCCAAATGGAGAAAGCAGAGATTTGGAGCTCCTGGTCGGAGGAGCAGGTTGGTGCCGGAGCCAGGACTCAACTTAGGTTGCAACTCTGAGCCTTTGAACACTTGCCACTTCTATTCCTCAGAGCAGCCCTTTCAGACTGAACAGGTGTTACCAGATCAGAGCAGAGTGGCCACTGTATTCTCAGTGCCCAGCCCAGGGAGGCAGATCTGAGTGGAGTTGCTAAGGAAACATGGAAGGTGCTTGAGAGCTAACCGGGAGGGAGGCAAGGTGTGCATTCCTGCGCCAGGGCCTTTGCATGTACTTGTTACTTTCTCCCACTGGCCAGCTGGAGTCTCTCTGGAAAGGTCTGTCTTAGGGAAGACTTCTCACTCACACTCTGCCCAGTTAGGACTCTAGAGACCCTATAGAATTACAGAGGAGGCTGGGCGTGATAGCTCACGCCTGGAATCCCAGCACTCCAGCCTGGGCGACAGAGTGAGACTCCATCTCAATTTAAAAAAAAAAAAAGGCCAGGCGCGGTGGCTCATGCCTGTAATCCCAGCACTTTGGAAGGCCGAGGCAGGTGGGTCACCTGTGGTGAGGAGATCGAGATCATCCTGACCAATATGGTGAAACCCTGTCTCTACTAAAAATACATAAAATTAGCCAGACGTGGTGGCGGGCTCCTGTAGTCCCAGCTACTCGGGAGGCTGAGGTAGGAGAATGGCGTGAACCCGGGAAGCGGAGCTTGCATTGAGCTGCGATCGTGCCACTGCACTCCAGCCTGGGTGACAGGGCAGGACTTCATCTCAAAAAAAAAAAAAAAAAGAAAAGAATTCTCACTTTTACCAGTGGGGTCAGGTAGAAAGCCACACCTTCCTTTGATGACTGCCCCAGAGTGTCATCGAAGGACAGCCTTCTCACGTCCCACACAGCCAGTTCTTCCTCCTGGAAGAGGCAGTACAGGGTCCGATGCAGAAGTTCACACATTGAGACCCCCACTTCCGCCACCTCCCCAAGCTGTTCAGTGTCGGGGGTGGGCTCTCTGAGCAGCATCAGTTCCCATTTCTGGAGGCCAAGGTGGGGGATCGCTTGAGGCCAGGAGTTCTTGACCAACCTGGGCAACATAGAAAGACCCTGTCTCTACAGAAAGTTTAAAACTTAGCTAGGCGTGGTGGTGTACACCTATAGTCTCAGCTACTCAGGAAGTTGAGGCAGGAGGATCCCCTGAGCCAAAGAGTTCAAGACCCATAGTAAGCTATCATCTTGCCACAACACTCTAGACTGGATGGCAGAATGAGACCCTGTCTCTTTAAAAAAAAAAAAAAAATTCCCATTTCTTCCTCCCCTCCCTGCCCTCGAGCACTTTTGAGCCAATTTGCTTGAATTAAATATGTATGGCATGATTTCACAGTTTTATTTCTTTTTAAATATTATTTACTTCTGCAAATAGGCATTTCGTTCACCAGGTTTAAAATTCAAAAGACCTGAAAGTGTACTTTGCAAGTCTCCTCCCCACTTCTGCCCAAAGGAAATCAGTCTCACAGTTTCCTCCTTTCTTTCTTTTTTTAACAACTTTATTGAGATGCTCACACCATGCCCATTTAAAGTGTACAGTTAATGGTCTTAGTATATTCACAGAGTTATGCAACCATCACCACAGTCAGTTTTAGAAGATTTTTCATTACGTCAAGAATAAACCCCAGCCGGGCGTGATGGCTCATGCCTGTCATCCCAGCACTTTGGGAGGCTGAGGCAGGTGGATCACCTGAGGTCAGGAGTTCGAGACCAGTCTGGCCAACATGGTGAAACCCCATCTCTACTAAAAATACAAAAATTAGCCGGTGTGGTGGTGCGCACCTGTAAGCCCAGTTACTCAGGGAGGCTGAGGCAGGATGAATCACTTGAACCTGGGAGGCAGAGGTTGCAGTGAGCCACGATCGCAGCACTGCACTGCAGCCTGGGCAACAGAGTGAGACTCCATCTCAAAAAATAAAAATAAAAATAAAAAAAACCCCACACCCCTTTGCTTTCCCTCACCACACCCCCATTCTCCCTGCCTCCCAGCCCCTGGCAACCACTAATCTGCCTCCTGTCTGCATGGATTTGCCTGTCCTGGACATTTCCTATAAATGGATCATACAATCTGTGGTCCTTTTGTTTGGCCTCTTTCACTTGGAATAATGTTTTCCAGGGACATCCATGTTGTAGCGTGTGTCAGAATTTCCTTCCTTTTTATAGCTGAATAATATCCCATTGTATGGACTGACCACATTTTGTTGGCCCATCCATCCGCAGATGGACGTTTGGATCGTTTCCACCTTTGGGCTATTGTGAATAATGCTGCTGTGAACGTTTGTGTACAGGTTTTCAATGCGGGCGAATGTTTTTGTTTTTCCTGGGCATGAATTCCAGGAGTGGAATTGCTGGGTCATACGGTAACTTTCTTTAACCGTTTGAGGAACCATCAGACTGTTCTCCATGGTGGCTGTGCCATTTGACGTTCCCACAAGCAGTGGAAGAGGGTTCCGGATTTCTCATCCTCGCCAACTTTTTTGATTCTAGCCAGCCTAGTGGGTGTGAGATGGTGTCTCATTGTGGTTAGGATTTGCATTTCCCTGGTGACTAGTGATGTTTTCTTGTAATTTCCCTGATGACTAGAGATGTTTTCATGTAAGTTCTTTATTTATTTATTTATTTTTGAGACAGTGTCTCTGTCGCCTAGGCTGGAGTGTAGTGGCGCAATCACAGCTCACTGCAGCCTTGACCTCCTGGGCTCAACAGATCCACCCCTGCACACCCTCCTTAGTAGCTGGGACCACAGGTGTGCTCCACAATGCCGGGCTAATTTTTGTATTTTTCGTAAGAGGCAGGGTTTCGCCATGTTGCCCAGGCTGGTCTCAGTCTCCTAGGCTCAAGTGATCCACATGCCTCGCCATCCCAAAGTGCTGAAATTACAGGCATGAGCCACTACTGCACCCAGCCTCGTATAATTTATTTTTTTATTTTTTTATTTTTTTGAGACAGTCTTATTCTGTCTCCCAGGCTGGAGTACAGTGCCGTGATCTCGGCTCACTGCAACGTCTATCTCCTGGATTCAAGCAATTCTCTGGCCTCAGCCTCCCTAGTAGCTGGGACTACAGGCCCACGCCACCTCACCTGGCTAATTTTTGTATTTTTGGTAGACAGGGTTTTGCCATGTTGGCCAAGCTGGTCTCGAACTCCTGGCCTCAAGTGATCTGCCTGCCTCAGCCTCCCAGAATGCTGGGATTACTTGAGTGAGCCACCACGCCCGACCTCATGTAATTTCTTGAGTGATCATTTAGTCATTCAACAAACAGTGATTGAGGGGCATGTGCCCAGCACTGCAGACTCTGGTGCACAGTCAGATGACCCTACCTTACTGGCATTTCCGTGCCAGTACACTGCAGAGATACCATATATGTAGCTGGTGCTAGCAATAGCTGGCACTCAGAGGTAGCACACTGTGTCCTAGCTACTCTTCCAAGCACTTAAGCACATTCAGTTACTCTTTAAGTACATACGGAATAAGTATGCGTTTGCCCCCCTCCTCTTTGCAAGGGACAGTGCGTGGCCACCCTGGTCTGCAACTAGGTTAGCAGATTTGACCACATATTGTAAAAGTGAGTGTACCAGGACAGATAGGGTAGAGGGCTCTGTGCGATTTAGCACCATGGCAGATTCCATCGTGTGGATGTCCCTCCAGCAGGGGAGGTCTTTGGGGCCAGGGCTAGGCCAGCACCCACATTTGCCGCCTGACCCTTTTCCTCCGTCTCTGTCTCTCCATTCCTCCCTGCCCCCGTGCAGCCGCCGCCATGGCCCAGACACTGCAGATGGAGATCCCGAACTTTGGCAACAGCATCCTGGAGTGCCTCAATGAGCAGCGGCTACAGGGCCTGTACTGTGACGTGTCGGTGGTGGTCAAGGGCCATGCCTTCAAGGCCCACCGGGCCGTGCTGGCTGCCAGCAGCTCCTACTTCCGGGACCTGTTCAACAACAGCCGCAGCGCCGTGGTGGAGCTGCCGGCGGCCGTGCAACCCCAGTCTTTCCAGCAGATCCTCAGCTTCTGCTACACGGGCCGGCTGAGCATGAACGTGGGTGACCAGTTCCTGCTCATGTACACGGCTGGCTTCCTGCAGATCCAGGAGATCATGGAGAAGGGCACCGAGTTCTTCCTCAAGGTGAGCTCCCCAAGCTGCGACTCCCAGGGCCTGCACGCAGAGGAGGCCCCATCGTCGGAGCCCCAGAGCCCCGTGGCGCAGACATCGGGCTGGCCAGCCTGTAGCACTCCACTGCCCCTCGTGTCACGGGTGAAGACAGAGCAGCAGGAGTCGGACTCTGTGCAGTGCATGCCCGTGGCCAAGCGGCTGTGGGACAGTGGCCAGAAGGAGGCTGGGGGCAGCAGCAACGGCAGCCGCAAAATGGCCAAGTTCTCCACGCCGGACCTGGCTGCCAACCGGCCTCACCAGCCCCCGCCACCCCAACAGGCTCCGGTGGTGGCAGCAGCCCAGCCCGCCGTGGCCACGGGAGCAGGGCAGCCGGCCGGTGGGGTGGCAGCAGCAGGGGGCGTAGTGAGTGGGCCCAGCACGTCGGAGCGGACCAGCCCGGGCACCTCGAGCGCCTACACCAGCGACAGCCCTGGCTCCTACCACAATGAGGAGGATGAGGAGGAGGACGGCGGCGAGGAGGGCATGGATGAGCAGTACCGGCAGATCTGCAACATGTACACCATGTACAGCATGATGAACGTCGGCCAGACAGGTGAGATGCCGCCCTGCCCCCCACCCCGCCAGCAACCCCTGCCTCTCCTGCCACTCGTGCTCTACTCTCTCCCTGCAGCCGAGAAAGTGGAGGCCCTCCCGGAGCAGGTGGCCCCCGAGTCCCGGAATCGTATCCGGGTTCGGCAAGACCTGGCGTCTCTCCCGGCTGAGCTTATCAACCAGATTGGGAACCGCTGCCACCCCAAGCTCTACGACGAGGGCGACCCCTCTGAGAAGCTGGAGCTGGTGACAGGTGGGCTGGCCTTGCCCCAGATCTCTCCCCTCCACAACTTTGGAGCCAGCTGGCCTGGGCTGGGCAGCTAGTTAGGAGCCCCCAGCACCTCAGTTTCCCTATCTGTGCTGTAGTGTTGGTAACAGCCACCCTCAGGGTGGGGGCGTTGGTGAGATGGAGGTGCTGATACAGCAAGGCCTGGCCTCTAGGTTTCTGACTTAAGGGCTCGGGGTGAGCATGGGCAATTATTGTTTGGCCACATGGGTAGAAAAGCTACTCCTGGGCTCCTGTGAAGGTCAGTTATTTACCTAGGTTAAGAATTTGGGCAGGCAGGGGGGCGAATGCCTGTAGTCCCAGCTACTCAGGAGGCTGAGGTGGGAGGATCCCTTGAGCCCAGGAGGTCAAGGCTGCAGTGAGCTATAGTGGCCGCTGCACTCCAGCCTGGGCGATAGAGTGAGACTTCATCTCTTAAAAAAAAGAGAGGCCGGGCGTAGTGGTTCAGCACTTTACGAGGCTGAGGCGGGCGGATCACGAGGTCAGGAGATCGAGACCATCCTGATTAACGGGGTGAAACCCCGTCTCTACTAAAAATACAAACGATTAGCCGGGCGTGGTGGCGGGTGCCTGTAGTCCCAGCTACTGGGGAGGCTGAGGCAGGAGAATGGCGTGAACCCGGGAGGCGGAGCTTGCAGTGAGCCAAGATCGTGCCACTGCACTCCAGCCTCGGCGACAGAGCGAGACTGTCTCAAAAAAAAAAAAAAGACGACGACTGTGTTTGGCCCTTGGGTCAGAGTTCCTGGCTGTGAGCCTCCACTCCCTGTTGGTCCTGCCAAGCTTGGGCTCATCTCTAGCTGGTGACAGCCAGCGTGCCCACCTCACACAGGCTTGCGGCACGACCGGCCACATGGCAGGCGCCCTGAGGATGGTGAAGCCACCCTTTCTGTCCTTTCCTGAGCACTGATGAGGTGGGGGGAGTCCCAAGGAGCCTCCCCTGAGTCCCAAGGAGCCCTTGGTGGGTAGAGGTGTAGGGGAGAAGGTCCCTAGGGTGAGTTTTTGGGACCCAGAGCCAGGGAGGGCGTGGGGTGTTCTGAGATGAGGCCTGGCATCGTGGGGGCTGTGGCGGTTTGGGGGCACCCCAGGCCATCCTCTGGCTTCCCCTCACCAGGCACCAACGTATACATCACAAGGGCGCAGCTGATGAACTGCCACGTCAGCGCAGGCACACGGCACAAGGTTCTCCTGCGGCGGCTCCTGGCCTCCTTCTTTGACCGGTAAGGCCCTTGCCAGAGCCGCAGGGAGGGGGGTGGGGTTGCCCCATGTCCCCACCACCACCAACTTGAGCGCTGACTCCCTCCATGTCCCCTGCCCCCAGGAACACACTGGCCAACAGCTGTGGCACCGGCATCCGCTCTTCTACCAACGATCCCCGCCGGAAGCCCCTGGACAGCCGCGTGCTCCATGCCGTCAAGTGTGAGTGTCGGCCCAGCTGAACAGGGCGTGGGCCCCGGGCATGCAGGTTGACGTTTTCTCTCAGCCTTGGCTCTCAGAGGGGCCTAGAGTTTGGTGTTGAGAAGCATTCTGGGACTCAGTCTGGCCTTGCTGGGAAACCGGCTGTGATTGTTTAGAGATTTATTCGTGGTTGGGGGATGCGGGTGCCGAAGGGAAGCCAGGGAGCCTGTGTCAGGCAGGAGGGTCTTGAACTCAGGGCAGTCTGGGAGGGATGAGGCAGCCAGACAGTGCTAGCCACTCCTCATGGGGGGCATCTAGATTTTCGGGTGGCCTCTCCCAGTTACTAAATTCTGGCAAATGATCCAAATTTTTCAAGAACACGGGGCCATCCCATCAAAACCCACACATCCCCATACATGGCTGAACTCAGTCCGGTGTAGGGCTGGGTGCACATGGTGTGGTGTCCTGGCTACGTGGCCTCACTCGTCTCCCCTTTGAGGGGGAGTCGCAGATGCTGGCAGGGGGGCTGGTGAGTAGGCCTTGTGGGAGTCACCTGGCCCCCGTGCCAAGGCCGCACCCACCCTGCCCCACAGACTACTGCCAGAACTTTGCCCCCAACTTCAAGGAGAGCGAGATGAATGCCATCGCGGCCGACATGTGCACCAATGCCCGCCGCGTCGTGCGCAAGAGCTGGATGCCCAAGGTCAAGGTGCTCAAGGCTGAGGATGACGCCTACACCACCTTCATCAGTGAAACGGGCAAGATCGAGCCGGACATGATGGGTGTGGAGCATGGCTTCGAGACCGCCAGCCACGAGGGAGAGGCGGGTCCCTCAGCCGAGGCCCTGCAGTAACCCGCCCGGCCTCCTGCGGGGCCTCACACTCCCCCTCCCAACACACACACACCCGCCATCTTGGTCATGAGCTACTGTCTGTCCCTCCCCAGGACCCGCGGTGGGTGCTGCATGTTCCCGGCCCTCTGCCCCTCCTGTCCCACCCCCTTCCCCCACCAAGAGCTGGGCCGGGAGAGGACTGCAGGGCAGGTGGCGTGAGGTCCGTGTTGCCTTCTTTAACACACACTCGTGCAGTGGGGGAGTTCTGGCTCCCCAACCTAACCCCTAGCCGTCATCTCCACACTCACCAGGCCCGCCAGGGGAGGGGGCTGGCCTGGGGGTCTCGGGAAGGCCCCCTCCCCAGGCCCTGGGCCACCTCGCGGAAGCCTTCAGCCTCCGCCCCTCACTGCAGCCCCTTGGGACTTGAGGGGGCCCCAGGGGTTCTCAGGACCCCTCCCACCACCTCCCAGTGCTTCCACGTCTCCAAAAGCGCCTTCCTGTCACCCTCGTCTGTCCCTGCGCCTGGGGGCTGGGGTAGGCGAGGCCATGGGGACTACCCGTTTTACAGCTGGGGAAATTGAGGCTCCGAGAAATTGCACAACCGACCTAAGGTGGCCGGCAGTGGTGTGCCCGGTGCCCTTTCTCCTCTTTTCCGCCTCTGTTGCCCCCATTGGTCCTCTGGGGCCTCAGAGAGGCAGGTCCTAAAGGAGGGGGGGTCTCTTGGGGGCAGATCAAAGGTCTCGGAGGATAGAATGAGAGGTTTCCAGGGCTGGCAGAGCGTGTGCGTGTGTGTGTGTGCAAAAGTTTTGCTTTCAAACAAATGAAGATACAAGAGGCAGTAGGACCTGGGTTGGAACCCAGGGGAGCAGACTGGGGGGCTGCTGCCCCTCCCTCCATCTCCCCACCCCCACCCCACCCCACGGCAGGGCTCCTGGCCCCCACCCCCTGTACATAATTTTTAAAACATTTTTTTAGCGAATGAAATATTGAAGTATAAGATTCCTTTTATTTTTCAAACCAATGGGGCTGTGTCTGTTGTCCTCCTCGGTCCCCAGGGGTGGGGGGTACCGTGGAAGGCAGGATGGTGTCGGGGGACTTGGGGGCAGCCTGAATATGTGTGTGTGTGTGTGTGTGTGTGTGTCTGGGGTGTGGGTGTGTGTTTCCATGGTAGGACTCCAGTCCCAGCTGCTGCCTAGGCTCCTGTGGGTCCCGCCGGGTTCCCCCTCCCCTGTCCACCTTCCCCAACAGGGCTATAGTTTAAGGGTGTCCCAGGCCTTGGCTGGTTGGCTGGGCCCAGCTCCTGGCGGCTGGGCTGGGCTGGGCTGGGCTGGGCTGGGCAGGGCAGGGCAGGGCAGGGCAGGGCAGGGCAGGGCAGGGCAGGGCAGGGCAGGGCAGGGCAGGGCCGGGCCAGGTCGGGTCCACTTCCATTGTTAGCAGTTGTTTGCAGAATTTTCTCTTTTACCATTCCTCTCTTTTTGTTCTCACCCAGAGTGGGTGGTTTTTTGTTGTTGTTTTAGATTTTTATGTGAAGGCAGAGAGTTTTTTTTTTTTTTTTTTTAAACTCCCCATCCCCCTACGCGGGGTGTCATTTCACCATCCACATCCTTGTTTGTGTTTCTGGCCCTCGTCCTCCCTGCCTCTCCTCTGCCTCTCCTCTGCCTCCCCAACCCCTGCCTACCCACTGCTCCCAGGGGTCTCTCCAGGGGCAGGGGGATTTCAGGAGATGGAGTGGGGGCCAGCCCCGACTGGACCCTTGGAATCTGATTCGGAGACCATCCCCCTGATGGGACCAGCAGCCCCACCGGCCTACTGGGGGTCCCTCTTAACATCTGCTTGTTGCGGGGGTCAGTCATGAGTGCCAGGGTCTGGCTGGGGTCTTGGCACTGTCTTCCTGGCTGGGGCCTGGCACCTTAGCCCCCAGCCGGTCTGAGTGGGGGATGTTGACACCCCCAGCTAAAGCACAAGCACCTTAGTCGCCCCTCCTCTCCCCCCGCCTCCTGGCCTGCCACCCCACCCCAGCGTTTACCCCAAAGCACAATGCCCTGGTCACTTGGCAAGCAGCTGGGCCTGACGGAGGCCGAGGGGCAGACCGGGGCTCCAGCCAGACCCCCGAAAGGAAGCTCCCCCACTTCCAGGCCTTAGTTGGGGTGGGGGGGCAGCTTCTGGGCCTGGGGTCTTCTCTCCCCCACCCCCTTGTCCTGGGTAGGCCCCTGCCTGCCCCTCTCTGCCTTTTCCTTGGGTGTCCCTCTTCGAGCCCCTGTGGCACTGGCTTGGGTGGCAGAGCCCACTTGTTTCAGGGACCCCAGGAGGTGCCCCCTGGCTCCCGGGACTGTGTGTGGGTCTGGGGGATGGGGGGGAAGAAGGGTGGGGCAGCGGGTGCAGGGGAGGAAACTCCTCACCAGGAGAGCCAAAGACAGGGTTGTGCCTTACCCCAGGAGCCACCCCTGTGCCCCCCTTGCCCTGCCATTCACCCTCCACCCCTCCCCCTGGGCGGCCTGCTGCTTTTTCCTTCTCTTCCTCCCCTGTCCTGCCCTGAGCTGCATGGTTCCCCCACCCTGGGCAGCCAGGAAGGAATCTGAATGGAGAATCACCAACCACCAGAGAAAAAAGACTGTGGGGCCCTCCCCTGCCAACTCCCCTTCCCTGGCCGCCCACTCACCCACACCTCTTTCACGCAGGACAGGCTGCCCACCCTGTCCACGTGAAGTGCCAACGCCCTCCCCACCCTGGGCCGAGCCCCCATCCCTCCCTGGGCCCCCAAGTGAGATTGCACATTTAACTACTGTAAGGAGAGGAGCGGCGTTGGCAAATGTGAACCATGAGAATATCAGTGATACTGATGAGAATAAACTAAACGCCTTTGTAACAGCCTTGCTGCATGCTTGTTACTGGGGGGCCCAGGGAGGAACACACCCGGGCTGTGCCCAGCAGCCCCAGGTTGCTGACTGCAAACTGATAGCCTCCGATTGTAACACGTGTGCAAGTTACCCAAACAGATACAGATAACACAAAGGGGCTGGCTCTGCACACTCAAGCCCCCAGCCTGGCTTCAGTGGGCCTCTTTAAACCTAGGAGAATCCTGGGCAACACAAGAAAAAAAAATTTTTTTCTTTTTTTTGAGATGGAATCTCACTCTGTTGCCCAGGCTAGAGTGGCATGATCTCGGCTCGCTGCAACCTCCACTTCCCGGGTTCAAGCCATTCTGCCTCAGTCCCCCTGGGTAGCCAGAATTACAGGCACCCACCACCATGCCCAGCTAATTTTTGTATTTTTAGTACAGACAGGGTTTCACCATGTTGGTCAGGTTGGGCTTGAACTCCTGACCTCAGGTGATCCACCCGCCTTGGCCTCCCAAAGTGCTAGGATTATAGGCGTGAGCCACAGCACCCGGCCTTTTGTTTTTTTTGAGTCGGAGTTTCACTCTTGTTGCCCAGGCTGTAGTGCCATGGTGCGATCTCGGCTCACTGCAACCACCACCTCCCGGGTTCAAATAATTCTCCTGCCTCAGCCTCCTGAGTAGCTGGGATTACAGGCATCCGCCACCACACCCAGCTAAATTTTGTACTTTTTTAGTAGAGATGAGTTTCTCCATGTTGGTCAGTCTGGTCTCCCAAAGTGCTGGGATTACAGATGTGAGCCACCACACCTAGCCTAAAAATATACTTTTCATTAGCTAGGTGTGGTGGCATGCACCTGTACTCCCAGCTATTTGGGAGGCTGAGGCAGGAAAATCATTTCAACTGGGAAGGTCAAGGCTGCAGTGAGCTACGATGGCACCACTGCACTCCAGCATGGGCAACAGAGTGAGATCCCATCTCAATAGAAAGAGGGAGCTGTGACTCTGTCAAGTTTACAGCATCACTGGCTCGCTCACTCAGTGCCTGCCTGTGCCGTGGCTGATCCCCCAAGCCCCAGAAACACATCCCATACACACACACTGCACAACACATTCAGAAGAGCACTCATACGTTGGAAGAAAGAACATTAAAGATCCGCAGGGCATGGTGGTTCATGCCTGTAATCCCAACACTTTGGGAAGCTGAGGCAGGTGGATCACCTGAGGTCAGGAGTTCAAGACCAGCCTGGCCAACATGGCAAAATCCCATCTCTACTAAAAATGCAAAAATTATCTGGGTGTGGTGGCGGGCGCTTGTAATCCCAGCTACTCGGGAGGCTGAGACAGGAGAATCACTTGAATCCAGGAGGTGGAGGTTGCAGTGAGACAAGATTGTGCCACTGCCCTCTAGCCTGGATGACAGAGCAAGACTCCGTCTCTAAATAAATAAATAATAACATAGAAGCCAGGCACAGTGGCTCACACCTATAATTCCAGTACTTTGGAAGGCTGAGAGAGGAGGATCAGTAGAGCCCAGGAGTTTGAGACCAACCTGGGCAATATAGGGAGACCCTGTCTCTACAAAAATAAAATAGCCAGGCGAGGTGGCATGCACCTGTGGTCCCAGCTACTTAGGAGGCTGAGGTGGAAGGCTGCCTTAAGCCCAGGAGTTTCGGGCTGCCGTGAGCCATCATTGTGCCACTGTACTCCCACCTGGGAGACAGAGTGAGAGAGACCCTGTCTCAAACAAACAAACCCAAAACAGGCCAGGCACAGTGGCTCATGCCTGTAATCCCAGCACTTTGGGAGGCCGAGATAGGTGGATCATTTGAGTTCAGGAGTTCAAGTTCAAGACCAGCCCGGCCAACATGGCAAAACCACATCTCTACTACAAATAAAAAATTAGTTGGGTATGGTGGAGCATTCCTGTAATCCCAGCTATTCAGGAGGCTGAGGCATGAGAACCGCTTCAACCCAGGAGGCAGAGGTTGCAGTGAGCCGAGATCACGCCATTGCACTCCAGCCTGGGTGACAGAGCGAGACTCCATCTTAAAAATAAAAATAAAAATAAAAAGATCAAGAGAACCTAAGCCATTAAAAAAAAAAGATTCACCTGGGCGTGGTGGCTCACGCCTGTAATCCCAGCACTTTGGGAGGCTGAGGCAGGCAAATCACTTAAGGTCGGGAGTTTGAGACCAGCCTGGCCAACATGGTGAAACCTCATCTCTACTAAAAATACAAAAATTAGCTGGGTGTGGTGGCACATGCCTGCAATCCCAGCTACTTGGGAGGCTGAGGCAGGAGAATTGCTGGAAACCAGGAGGCGGAGGTTGCAGTTAGCAGAGATCGCACCACTGAACTCCAGCCTGGGTGACAAGAGTGAAACTCTGTCTCCAAAAAAAAAAAAAA